GAAGGACACTCAATCAGAATGGCAAGAGATAAGATGCCAAGACTATAAAAATAATTTAAGGAGCATATGGACCACTATTAAGGGTCAAAATATCCAATCAGCGAACCTGAAGGAAAACAAGATGTTGAACATCTGTTTGAAGAAACAGATGGAAAACTTCCCTAACCTGATGAAGGAAATGGAAACAATACCCCAGGAAGCTCAGAAAATTCCCAAAATCAGGGATCCAAAGAGGCCCACCCCAAAATACATCATAATTAAAATTCCAAAGGTTAAATACTAAGAAAGAATATTAAAAGCAGCAAGAGAAAAACAGATAATTACTTATAAGGGATTACCCATAATACTGGCAGCTGATTTCTCAAAAGACACTATGCAGGACAGAAGGGGTTGGCAAAAAATATTCAACAGGATGAAGACCTGGGATCTACAACCAAGGATACTTTATCCAGCAAAGCTTTCATTTAGAGTTGAAGGACAGATAAAGAGCTTCCCAGACAAAAATAAGCTAAAAGAATTTATCACCACCAAGCCAGCATTACAGGAAATGTTTGAGGGACTTCTTTGGGAAGAAAAAATACAAAAGACTCACTTCAGATTAAAAGACACACACACAGACTAAAAGAAAGAGGTGGGAAAAGATATTGCTTTGATGGACCTAGAAGGTATTTAAATCAGACAGAGAAAGATAAACACTGCATATGATTTCGTATAAATTCTGCATATGATTTCACGTATATGCAGAATCTAAGGAATAAAAAGAACAAACTAAACAAAAACAGACTCACAAATATGGTGGATAATTTAGTGTCAAACAGAGGGGAGAGAGGTTTGGGGGGTTGGGAGAATGGAGTGAAGGGTTAAAGAAGTACAAATTAGTAGCTAATGGATGGTCATGGAGATGGGGAACACAGCATAAGGAATGCAGGTAGCATTAATACATTGGCTAGGTGGAGGGCCAAGGGAGGGAGTGAGCAATTGGGAGGACCATTTACAAACTATATAGATGTCTAATCATTGTATACTTAAAACTAATAAAAATAAATAAATTTTTAAAAAATGGGTAGAGGATCTGAATAGACTTTTTTTCAAAGAAGACATATGGATGGCCAACATGTACTTGAAAAGGTGCACAACATCACTTAGCATCAGGGAAATACAAATTGAAACCACATTGAGATACCACCTCAAACCTGTTAGAATGGCAGTCGTCAGAAAGACAGGAGATAACAAGTGTTGGCAAGAATGTGAAGTAAAGAGAACCCTTGTTTACTGTTGGTGGAAGTGTAAACTGGTGCAGCTACTATGAAAAACAGTATGGAAGTACCTCAAAAATTAAAAATAGAACTACCTTATGATCCAGCAATCCCACTTCAGGGTACATATCCAAAGAAAATGAAAACAAGACATTGAAGATATATCTACACTCTCATGTTCATTGCAGCATTATTCACAATAGCTGAAACATAGAAACGACTTAAGTGTCCATCAATGGATGAATGGATAATGAAGATGTGGCATATATATATACAATGGAATATTATTCAGCTATGAGAAAGAAGGAAATCCTTCCCTTTGTGACAACATGAATGGACCTTGAGGGGATTATGTTAAGTGACATAAGCCAGAGCGAGAAAGACATATACTCTATGGTATCACTTATATGTGAGATCTAAAAGAAATTCATAGAAACATAGAGTAATAATGTAATGGCCAGGGGTTGGGGGAAATAGGGAGAGGATGGTAAAAGGGTATAAACTTTCTGTTATAAGGTAAGTAAGGTCTGAGCATTTTATTCATCTTATAACTAATGTAAATTATCACATGGTGACTATAGTTTATAACAATGTAATGTATAATTGGAATTTGCTAATAGAACTTAAATGTTGCCACCAAAAGAAAAAAAGATAAATATGTGAGGTGATAGGTTAATGAACTAGATGGAAGGAACCCTTTAACATTTGGGGAGATATCAAACAGATATCAAATCATTGCCATGTGCACTTTAAATATTTTACAGTTTTGTCAATTATGCCTTAATAAAGCTGATTTTAAAGAGTGGATTCTAGATTAAACGGGCGCTGGCCTCTTGCTGGCCATCCTTCTCTTCCTGGCTTTCTAAGAAGCCTCTCTTCTCTTCCTCTCTCTGCTATTCCTTCCATCCCAGACGAGCTATTCTGGGTTGCCCTGGCCGTTCCCCTGGTTTGGACA